CACCCACCCACCTGACATGGGGACCTCCCTGCTGTACTATTCCAGCTCTGGCTGTTCTTGCTGACAACACTCCCTCACCTCCTACTGGCTCAGAGCTCACAGAAGCCCAGGATCCTGACCTTGCAATCCTGTTTCTAGTCCAGAACTTGAACCCAGACTCTCACTTGCTTCCAAAACTCTCCATCGGTGGTGGCCAGCACACGGGAGACAGAGCTAGGAGGTGAATAGAAGTGTGGATGGAGTCTACGGCCACACCACCCTGAACGTGCCTGATCTCATCTGATCTCAGGGCCGGGCCTGGTTAGTACTTGGATGGGAGAAGTGTGGATGGAGAGTGGGATCAGGGAGAGGGAGGGTGGGGGATACTGGGCCAGGAAGCCACACAGTCACTCATTCATTCATTCATTCATTCAACCCCCTTCAAGGGCTGTGTCCTCAGCAAACTGTGTCATTGTGCATTCCAGCAACTTTGGCAAACAGAGGTAGGTGGGAAGGGCACTCGCCATGGTCTCCCAATGCCACCAACAGGTTCCGCAGGAAGCTGTGGCCACATCGCATAGCACATGGTCATACAGTCCATTTTACAGAATAAATACACGAATCTGCTCACAAGTAATGGTAGGGGCCCAGCACTGTGGCATAGCACATTAGGGTACTACCTGCAACATTGACATCGGATGTGGGAGCTGGTTCAGCTTCCATCTGCTCCCCTTACGATGCAGCTCCTTGCTAACTCACCCGGGAGAGCAGCGGAGGGTGGCTCACGTCCTTGGGATCCTGCTCTTGGTCACGGTGGGAGATCTAGGTGGAATTTCTGGCTCCTGGTTTTGGCCTGGCCCAGCTTTGGCCATTTGGGGACTGAAACAGCAGAAGAAAAAATCTCTCTCTTTCTCTCTCTGTCACTCTGCCTCCTGAATAAATAAATGAATGAATTTGAAAAAGTGTGTCAGGCCCAAGGGAAGAGAGAGTGACGTGAGGGACTGGATGCAGGGAGGGCAGGGGCAAGGTGGAAGAACAGCCAGGGGTGTCCAGGATGTGGGAGAATCCCCTGCGCAGGTAAGGGTGTGTGGAGAGCCGGTAGAGACAGGAGACCCCCAGGGTCAGCTGGGGCCTCTGGTCTGAGCACCATCTCACATCCACAACGCCAGTGGACACACAAGGAGGACCCTCTTCCCCGTGTTCCGCCAGCTCCTGCCCCTCCGCCCATGCTGTGGGACCTGTGATCAGCTGCCCCTTGGCTCAACTTCTGTTCACAGTTTGCTATGCCACATGCATTCCCAGATGCCCACTGTCTGTGGGGACCCTTTTGTTAGTTAGCATATAGGCGCCAACCCGTGCATGCATAGCCACACATAATACACACACGAGATACAAGCAAGTTTACACTGCATACACCTGTGCGTAGCAGATGGACACGTGTGCACACATATGTCCACAGACTCCTGGTGTCTCCCGGGGAAAGACCCTGGCAAGGGGGCTCAGCACAAAGTCCCTCCCCAGAACCCCTTCTCTCCAGAGGCCTGGATCGAGCCAAGGATTCCTAGGGCTCGTGGTGGGGCCCAGGGCTGGGCCTGAGCTCCTGGCAGCTCTCAGCAGCAGCAGCCGCGCTGGGCCCTGGGTCTCGCTCGGTCTCCCTGTCTTGGCTTTACTCCCTGGCTCCCTTCTCTTCCCTCCCCCGAGTGTAATCCTAGCTCTGTGTGTGTGTGTTCTCTTTCCAACTCTGTCCCACTTCTCTCTCTCTCTGCAAGGTTGGGCTCTGTCCCTCTCACGCCATTTTCTCTGTTGGATCTTTTTTTTTTTTCTTTTTTTTGCCTTCCAGAGAAAGCTGACGTGGCAGGCCCATGGCTGGGGCAGGAGCCAGGCCTCTCTGGGTTGGGGAGAGGATTGGAGCCGGAAGAGGAGCTGAGCATCGGCCCCAGCAGCAGGGGTGGGCCTGGCCTGCCTGCGGGAGGTAGCGGGAGGGAGGAGAGAGGGCTGGGCAAGCGAAGTAAGGGAAGAAACCCAGGTGGGAGAAGGCCCGGTGGCCTCTGAGCTGGGGTTATCACCTACAGCCCCTGCCAAGTACTGAAAACCTTGTGTCTCAGTAAAGCCACAGGAGGAGGGGTAGGGCTGGTTTCTGGGCCCCCCAGTTTTCCATTTCTGCAGCAGTATGGCCAATTAACCAGTTTGGGTTTGGGTTGAGGGCCTGGGAGGAGCCCTCCAGTCCCAGACCCCCAGGGACCTTGGGACAGCCCAGCCAGGGAGCTCCAGGCTAACCTACTGAACCTGTACCTGGGGCTCATTCTTGGTGGGAAACCCAGGAGAGAGGGGTGTGGAGCAGAGCTCACACATCTGCTCCTGGGCCATGCAGGAGGCAGCCTGGACAGCCCACTGAAGAGCTTGCCCTGGAGGTCCTTGCCCCACCATCACCTGCAGGTATCAGGAAGAGCTGGACAGGTGCAAGCTCACTTTGGCTTGGGCAGCTGCTCCCTATCCAATCTCAGGCTCTGAGTTTCCCAGGGGGTTCTGAGGCAGCCTAAGGCTTTGAATGCCATTGCCAATGGGACCTTGGATGGCAGGCAGGGATGGTCCTGCCCTGAGAACTGCCCTGGGTAATCCCTCTCCTAGTGTGGTGGCCTACTTGTGCTGTAAGGGCATGGAGCAGGCAGACTATCCCTAAGGGCTGGCCACTGTATCCACCCCTCCGATCCAGGGGTATGCAAAGGATTTCAAAAAGTTCATAGAAAAGCATACTAGGAACGAAATATATGTAGATTTCCATTTTTAGAAAAGTTATTGCATTTATTTGAAAGGCAGTTAGAGAGAGAGTTCTTCCATCCCCTGGTTCGTTCCCCAAATAGTCACAACAGCGAAAACAAAATCAACCCAAACCCTGGACACCAGGAATTTCTTCTGGGTTTCCCACATGGGTGGGAGGTTCCAAGTGCTTGGGCCATCCTCCACTGCTTTCCCAGGCACCTTAGTGGGGAGCTGGATCAGAAGTGGAAAAGCTGGGACTGGAACCATTGTCCACATGGAATGCTGGTGTTTGCAACTGGTGGTTTAACTTGCTACACCATAGCATTGGCCCAGGATTTCAGTCTTCTCACATTAAAACTAACTTGTTAAAATTGCATTACCGTTATTTATTAATTTGAGAGACTGAATCCCCATCTGTTGAATTACTCTCCAAATGCCTGCAATAGCTGGGCTGAAGCTAAGAGCCAGGAACCCCATCCAGGTCTCCCACATGGGTAGCAGGAACCCACTGCTTAAAGCATCGTCTGCTGCCTGCCAGGGTCTACCTTAGCAGGAAGCTGGACCAGGGAGCAGAGCCGGGACTTGAACCCAGGCACTCCAGTGTGGGACGCAGGTGGCCTATCCACCACACCAAACATCTGCCAGGGAGTCATCTTCAAATTCCAGCTCTCCTTCACTCTCCCTCAACGTTGCCTGTGTGCAGGGCGTGGGGGACATGGAGGGATATGATAGTCTGAGCAATAGATTGCTCCGAGAGCTAGGGACACTCAGACCCAGTGGGTCCCTGGCATGCTGTGCAGGCTGCAGTTCTAGCCACCTGCACCTGTGTCCCCTGCTCCAGCAGCTGGGCTAGAAGGCTCCCCACAGGCAGCACAACATGAGTCTCTCCTCTCTCTCTCTCTCAGGATCATTCCCGGGAAGGCTTCTCAGCAGGGTTGGCAGCTTGAGATGGTTTCCTGCACTTTGGCCTCTTCCTAAGACACACACCTCACATGCCCAGCCAGACATGGCTGTCACACCCACAGAACACACATACTTGAATCCACCTAGACACAGCTGCCACACACACACACAAATGTACGCATACATGCTTGTACCACTAGCCCCAGCTTGAAGGAAAGCGCTTGCATGTCCTTGCACGTGAACTTGGAGCCTATCCCGCTCCTCGTAGGACAACCCCCCCAACACACACACACACCCTCCCTCCAGCTCCCTCCACTCCGGGCCCCTGTCCAGACAGCGCTGTGTCTTTAAGGAAGTTGAAGCTGCTGAAAGGGGGGAAGCGGGAGGGACCGAGGGAGGGGAGGGAGAGAGGCAGAGAAAACACAACCCCAAAATCTGGCCTCTCTTGAGTCTGTTCAGGGTGTCACTTAGAAAACAGGGGCCCCCTGGCTGCCTCTGCGGTTGTTTTGCTCCGAGGAAGGAGAGCTTGCCAACCTGGACTGGGCCATCACCGTCAGGGCAGCCCGTCAGGGGCGGAGTGGAGTGGGACCAGACTGCCCCCTCTGTACCCCAGCCCTGTTTCTTGGGACCCTGCACGGCAAACCCAGGCATTTGCTATCCTTTGGTTCAGTCTCGCAGGAGGACACCCTTGAAGGAGTAAGGTAAGGGGAGGAGGGGGTGCTGAGGGTAGGCCTGCAGGCTCAGGCACATGGGAGGCCGCCTTGCACGGCCCTGGGCAAGGACATCTGCTGCTTCTCCACGCCAGGCCCAGCAGCTGGCCTCGCCCAAAGCAGTGGAGAGCTGGTGGCCGGCGCTGATGCCCGCGGCTGGAACCCAACAGGCCTGGGAGGTGTCTGCAGCAGTCACAGCCAGCCCACAGAGCCAGAGGAGGAAGGTGGGAGGGGGGAGCTAGCAAGGGACTGCGCAGTGCACGTGGGCCCTGCCTGGGGCCTGCAGGAGTTGGGGAGTGGGGGAAGAGGGACCCTAGGTGGGAGGGACTGCAGCCAGGATGTGGGAGGCCTAGAGGAGGGAGTGCCTGGAAAACAGATTTCAAGTCATAAAGTTGGCTGGGGACCCAGGAGGAGGAGAGCTGTGCTGGGTTGGGGTGGTGATGAGGGGGAATCCAGGGGTCCGTCCATCTTGTCGTTGCCCTACCTTGGCCGTGGAACCTGGAGGCAAGCTCAAGTCCTTCTCCAGGCCTCAGTTTGCCCTTCTGTAGCTCTGGGGGGGGGGGGGTGATAGGTGAGGTGCCAGGCTTCAGCCAGGGTAGGTGGGGCCCTGCTGGGGTGACCGACTGCGAGTTCTCTGCAGCAGGCAGGATGCAGGAGCTGCGACTGCTCTGCTGTGTGGCTCTTCTGGGCCTGACGCGGGCCTGCCCGGAGCCCTGTGACTGCAGCCGGAAGTACGGCTTCCAGATTGCCGACTGTGCCTACCGCGACCTGGAGGCCGTGCCACCCGGCTTCCCGGCCAACGTGACCACCCTGAGCCTGTCGGTCAACCGGCTGCCAAGCCTGCCAGAGGGCGCCTTCCGGGAGGTGCCCCTATTGCAGTCCCTGTGGCTGGCACACAACGAGATCCGCACAGTTGCTGCTGGTGCCCTGGCCTCCCTGGGCCAGCTTAAGAGCCTGGACCTCAGCCACAACCTCCTGTCCGACTTCGCCTGGAGCGACCTGCACACGCTCGGGGCCCTAGAGTTGCTCAAGATGGATAGCAACGAGCTGAGCTCCATTCCCCGTGACGCCTTCCGCAGCCTGCACGCCCTGCGCTCACTGCAGCTCAACCACAACCGCCTGCACACGCTGGCCGAGGGCACCTTCAACCCCCTCACGGCCCTGTCGCACCTGCAGATCAACGACAACCCCTTCGACTGCACCTGCGGCCTTGTGTGGCTCAAGGCCTGGGCCCTGGCCACGGCCGTGTCCATCCCAGAGCAGAACAATGTCGCCTGTACGACTCCCAGCGTGCTCAGGGGCACCCCACTGAGTCGCCTGCCGCCACTGCCCTGCTGGGCGCCTTCAGTGAGGCTCAGCTACCAGCCCAGCCAGGATGGAGCCGAGCTGCGGCCTGGCTTCGTGCTGGCCCTGCATTGTGCAGCGGATGGGCAGCCAACCCCTCGGCTGCACTGGCACATCCAGACGCCTGGTAGTGGCACCGTGGAGATCACCAGCCCTAACATTGGCACAGACGGGCGCGCCCTGCAGGGCAGCCAGCCCCGCTTCCGGGCCTTCGCCAACGGCAGCTTGCTTATCCCCAACTTCGGTAAGCTGGATGAGGGTGCCTACAGTTGTGTGGCCACCAATGAAATGGGCAGCACCGAGAGCTCAGTGAATGTAGCTCTGGCCACCCCAGGCGAGGACGTGGTGTGGCATGGGTTCCGTGGCAAAGCCACTGAGGCCAAGGGCTGCTACACGGTGGACAACGAGGTGCAGCCATCGGGACCCGAGGACAGCGTGGTCATCATTTACCTGAGTCGTGGGGGCAGCCCTGAGGCTGCCGTTGCGGGGCAAGCCTGGGCTGGCCAGCGGCCCCAGAGCATGCTCCTGGTGTGCCACAGCCTTCTCCTGGTCCTCCTTGCTGCCTTCTAGCCCTGCCCCACCCCCTCGCTGGGACACAGCTTGGCAGGGGCCTTCACATCCTCCTACCTCCCTCTCCAGGAGCTTGTGGACACCACTTCCCAGGCTCAAAGCTCGTGTCCAGGATAGACCTGGACTCCAGCGTTTGCTGATGTCCTGAGTCATGGCCTGGATGGTGGGGCTGCAGGCCCATGACCGACAAAGCCCACAGGAAGGCGGCCACAGCAGACACACAGGGCGTGGAGCAGGACAATGTGGGGACAGCGGCTGGGGTGGCCCTGAGGAGCCTGGAGCCCACATCAGCTCTGACCACTCAGGCCACAGGATCTTTCTACCCCTGTCGAAAATAGGACCCAAGAGGATCCCACAGGCCCTCCCTCCTCTGCTCTTGTCCCTCCTCCTGCCACTGCCTCCTGCACCCTGGGCACCTGTAGCCTGCCCCACCCCAGGAACCAGCTGGCGCTGGGAAGATGGAGACAGCAGAAAAATAAATCAGCGTTTCTGATGATCCCTTGTGTGTGCGTGTGTGTGTGTGTGTGTGTGCCCCCTAGTGCCCCTACAGGGGCTAGGAGTCAAAGGGGAAGGGTTAAGATGCCCAGCTCGCCTGCCCACATGGACCTGCACAGACTGCGATGGGCAGCAGTAGTGGGTGGCTGAGGCTGCTGAGGGCTGGAGTTGCGCGTTGGCTACAGAGGGGGTGCCGTGGGGACCCGCTGGTGACTGGGCAGGACCTTTAGCTGGCAGTGCTGGGCCTCTGGCTCTGCCTGGTCCTGGGGGGCAGACATTAGGAATGAATGAGGAGTGAGTAGAGGAGGGGAGGAGACGCACTCAGGACAAGGCAGAGGAAGCCTCAGAGAATGTGGGACCTGCAGTGCCAGGAGGGCAGGCCGTTCCTAGCGGAAGGTGTGGGAAGCACACGCGTGGAGTCAGACCTGGAGACTGCAGGGATCTGCAGTCCGCTCCCCCAACCCCCCACTGACTACACTGAGCGAGAGCTGGCACTACTGAACTCTGCACACAGGGACACCGGCGCAGCCACTACCCCACTGCAGCCCAGGGCCCCCAGAACCACTAAGCCCAGCAGAGAGGAGGCAGGAGGCGGACAGGGGGTGAGGGTCTGGGGTGGCAGCTACTAGCATGGATGGTTGGCCCGGCCAGGCCCAGCCGTATCTTCTAGTTCACTTTCAGCAGTCCCTCTGCACCCTCTGCAGCTGCTGTTCCTTCAGCCAGGCGCCCTTCCCTGCTCCATGCTGGACCAAGTCACTCCTGGAAATTTGATTGCTGTCCCCTCCCAGCAACAGTGGGGGTGGAGCCTGGGTGTGGTGCTGGGGGGAGGATATTGGTCTCTCCCAGAGCCACGTGTCTGCCAGGTGATCACGAGCCTCCCCAAGACCTTCTACAAGCCTCCAACCCCACAGAGGGGGTTCTACACCATCCAGCAGCCCGGATACACCCACTGCCCAAGCCAACACCCACAATACTCCTGAAGGGCACATCAGCCAAGGAGGGGCCCCCTGGTGCTACAGGTGAAAACCCTCACCCACAAGAAGGCCTGAACCTTGTCCTGTTCCTTGGGGTACACGTTTATTACAGGGAGCACTGGGGCCTCCTTCATGGCAGCAACAGGCAGCCAAAGACAGACATGTCCTGCTGCCAGTGTGGGTCTGGTCTCACTCCTTCTAGGCCAGAGAGGAGGAGCAGCTGGCCCCAGAGGAAGTAGCACTGCCAGCTCCACAGGGTGAGGTCCCTGGCTAGCCTAGGGCTGCCAGGCAGGTGGCCAAGCCAGGGCAGGGAATAGGCCCGAGATGTGACCGCACAGTTCCACCAGCCCCCCGACCAAGCGCCTGACCGGTCACAGCCCCATGGCCAAGGGCAGGCTGAGTCCTCTAGGCACAGCCAGCTCCTATTCAAATAGTCCTTGGAGGGGCTCCCCACCCCCCACATGCCAGATTCTTCTGGGGTAGGGGAGGGCAGAGCAGTGGTCCGTCGTGCCCACTCAGGGCTGGGTGCCATTGGCCCGGGCAGCCCACAGCGCCCTCTTCCGCCCAGCCTGCAAGCTAGGGTTTCGTAGCAGTGTGTAAGCCAGGCCCCAGCGGGCCCTGCAGCAGCTAGCCCGGGGCCTGGTGGTTCCCTTGGCAATGGCGTCCTTGGTTTGCAGCAGCTGCATTCCTGGGCGAGACAGACCTTTTGTGAGTCACTCAACACACACCCACCTTAGATCACATAGCCCTGCCCCACCAACCCAGGTCTGAGCAGGGACTCTGCAACCCCGGGGTGGGTGGAGGGCTTGCAAGGGGTATACAGAAGAGGGAGGGGTGGGTGGGACTGGGGCCATTTTGGGGGGCAGTGGCGAATGGGACCCAGCCCCTAAGCCAGGCAGCTTTTGGTGCTCTGTTCTGTGTGTGCACCTGCAACAGGACCAGGTGGGACTATCACAGGCAGCTAGGGGCGGGGACAGGGGGGCTGCCCCACTCGGGGGTGGGCAGGGGGAGGTTCTGCTCCCCACTCCCTGGGGAGAGAGTGCACCTTCTTCCTCCTCCTCCTCCCTCCGGCTGAGGCTGTCTTGGGGAGTGGCAGGGACCCCCAAAGAACGGGTTCGGCTTTCCTGTGCCTGCAGCAGCAGCAGGGTGCAGAAAGCGGTTGCGGCAGGATGGTACTGGCTAGCCTCCAGTTCCAGAAAGTTCTGGTAAATGCGGTATCCTGGGGCAGGGGCAGGGGAGGGTAGCAGTGCTGAAGAAGGAGGGCCCCATGCAGACATGCTCCCACCCACTGCCACCTTCCCCTCACCCCAGCCCCAGTGTCCTGATGCCCTGGGAATGTGGTGCACAGTAGATGTCACCCCCATGGCAGGCCTCAGCCCAGTGGCTCAGCCTGACATAGGAAGGACTCCTAACCCCTGCCTCCCTGTCTGGCGGGCCTGGGCTGCTACCTGGGTCAAGAGTGGCCACCCGAGGAGGCAGCAGGCTGAGGTCCATCTGGCCCAGGTGGATGGTGTTGTAGAGGGCAGAGAGCAGCACACGGCAGGTGGCCCCCAGGATGCCCAGCAGCCCGTTGAGGGGGAGCAGGAGGAAGGTGGTGGCGTACAGTGCTCGCCTGCCGGGATGGGGGGGGGGTGGTTGTGGTAGGGGAGAGGGGAAAGGCCGAGACAGGGTTCCTCTCTAGACCTGCGCCCTTCCCCTGTCAGTGTCAGACCCTGAGCACTTAGTGAGCATCTGTTGTTTGTGGAACGCATCTTCCTAGCCTGGGAGATAGGCAGTGCCACCCCATTTTACAGATGGGAAACTGAGGTACAGGGAGCTTGGGCCTCCCAGCTGAGAGTCGGGGGCCCAGCCTATGCCCACCCACTTGCCCTGTCTCTCTCGTCCCTGACTCTAAGCCCCTCCTGCTGTCCAATTCAGAGCCCCCTTTCCAACCAGGGGGATTGAGCGACTAGAGGAACCGGGTGAGGTAGGGAAGAGCAACCCCCAGCTATGATGGTAGGTGTCCTGGAGTGGCCAGGAAACTTTAGCACCCCTTTGTCCCTGGGTTAGGGGAGCCCACTGAGTTTGCTGCTGGGTCCCGAGGGAGCCGGTGGAGCAGGGGAGCCCAGGGCTGCCTCACCGGTTGGTGAGCTCTGGGTGGCTGTGGCGTGTGTCTAGGAAGACCCAGCGAGCTGCCATGTTCTGTAGGATCAGGGCCAGGGCCAGAGTCAGCCAGAAGTGCCTGTGGGTGGGGCAAGGAGGGCGGTGGCTGCCAGCAGCCCTGGGCAGGGAAGCCCCCTATGCTGACACCAGAGCCTTCTCCAGGTGAGGGGCCTGCCACATCCCCACTCTCCAACCAGCCTCACCAGGAGGACTGCAGGGCCCGCAGGAGCAGGCGGTTGCTGCCATGGAGTGCCGGCATGAAGAGCAGGAAGGCCAGGACCACCATGGTCAGGAAAAAGATGAGCTGCTGTACCAGGAGGCCTGGGGGCAGGTCAAGGACACACGAACATGTGTCAGAACCACGCGCCATCTCCCTGAGACCCAGAGTGGGCTACAGGGGCCACCAGGGCCATCCGATCCCACGGGAGAGAAAGGACTCAGGGCTCTCCCAAGGCTTTCCTTGAATACTCCAAGCGATGGGAATCTCCTTACCTTCCGAGGCGAGGCCATGGTGGCACAGCCCTCCCTTTAACACAATCAAGGCCATGCTCACCTTCCATTCTAACCCCCAGCTGGATCTGCCTCCCCAAGCTCAACAGGCCAGTGATTCCTGGTTTTGGCCCCAGAGCCTGTCCAGCAAAGCTCAAGCTAGGGGACCCACGTCTGGGCTTGGGCCAGGGCCAGGGTGGGCATGGCAGGCAAGGAGCTCACCCAGGCAGGTGAAGGCCGTCTGATAGGCACTGAAGCTCATCCAGCAGAATATGGCAGGGCGGGAAGGCTGGGGTCTGTGGGCTGGGGGCCCCAAGTCTGGGGCACTTCCTCGATACAGAGCCTGCAGGTTGACCCTGAGGGGAAGCACGCATACTCACACACCCATACAGAATTCCTCAGGCCTCATCTCTGGCCACCAAACCCTTGGTAAAATCACACCCAGGGAAGCCCAGAGGAGCCAGGAGGACAGCCTGGAAAAGGCAGTGTCTGAGCAGTCTTAGAGGTGAGTGAGGGAGACAAAACCAGGCAGAAGGCTTCATCCCAAGTCAAAACAGGGAAGGGGGAGGCCATGGTGAGCATGGCAGTGACCCATGCAGCTCAGTGCCAGGGCAGGGGCCCAGAGTGGGGTCAGGGGAGGGGGCTTGAAAGCTATCCGGATTAATGGTGTGGACCCCTCAGGACATGGGGGGGCAAGTCGGCCTTCCCTAATGCCCCAACCCCTCCCTGGCCCCAGGCTTAACCCACCCCAGGTCGCTGATCCCTCCTCCACACTGACCTGTGTGCCACCAGCGAACGCATCAGGACCAGGCAGGTGAGAGAGCAGGACAGGACCAAGGCCAAGATGTAGCAAACTGGGGGGCACAGAGATGGATGGCACCCTGAGGAGGCCTCCAGGGCAGGCACCTCCACACCCAGGGCTTCTGGGCCACCTCAGCTGCCCTCCTCCACCAGGTGACTGGCATAGGGGCAGGACAGCCTCATCTGCTCTTGCTCTTCAATCATGGTGTAGCTGAGGAACTGCGTCCAGGCTGGTACCACCACTTCCTGGCCATGGGGCCTTCTGGGGACACCTCTCCTCCCCTGTCCTCAATCTCGCAGCACCTTGCCAATGTCCCAGCAGGCTCCTGCCCTTGCTCAGTCTTCAGGACACCCTGATGGTGAGGGGGTATGGGAGGGGGTCTCACCTTCCAGGGCCCAGAGATGGCGCTTCACCAGCTCAGCAATCTCCTGCTTGTCCCCGGGCAGTGCGATCCCAAAACCAGCCAGCAGATAGGCCACGTCTGTGGTGACCCCTGCCCTGGCCTTCTGCACCGTGGGGACCATAGTCACCAGCAGCAGCAGGGCCACCTGCGAGAGCCCACAGTGTCCGAGGTGCAGGGTCGGGGGGGAGGGATCCTCACACTTGCACCCTGCCCCCCTCCCTGCCCCGGAGGTGCTCTCTGTACCAAATGGAAAACTTCCGGACAACACACGGGCATGGCCTCTATCCGGATGACCTAGCCTGCCTCCCAGAGCAGGTCCACCTGCCTGCAAATGGCATGCAAACTGCAGGCTGTGCTGACACCTATCCGTCTTCAGTTTGGAAGATAAGGTTCCCCCACCTTTCCACAGGAGGATAAAGTTGAGCTCAGGCACCCAAGCCCAGGCAGGCCTGCATCCTGCCCTGGCCACCAGCTGCCAGAGCTTCCAGGTCAGGTCCACCTCTTTAAGCCTTCACTTCCCCTCTTTGCACAACAGAGGTAAACTGCAGCGCTTTTAAGCTGGATCTCAGGCTGGGGGCAGATGTGAGTCTCAGCGGAGTGAGCTTAGGATGCCCGCCTTTCATATGGCAGTGCTTGGGATTGCATGCCAGTTCCACTTCCCATGCAGCTGTGATGGCTCAAGTCCTTAGGCCCTGCATCCACATGGGAGACTGGGAGGAGGCTCCTGGCTCCTGGCTTTGACCCGGACCAAACCCAGCTATTACAAGCATTCAGGGAGTGAATTAGTAGATGAAAGATACGTGCGTGTGTGTGTGTGTGTGACTAGGGAGGGAGGGTCCAACCCACAGACAAACAGCGTGACGGAGCATGGGACATACCTGGTAGATGGCCGTCCCTGTTAGAGTGGCTGAGAGGAGGACCATCGGAGGCAGGCGAAATCCTGCAGTTACCGAAGAGGGAAGGCAGCATGAACAGCACAGCCAGGGACCCCGACTCACACAAGGTGCCCCGAGAGAGGCAGGACTCATGGGAGGCTGGACCACCACAGGCCAGGCCAGGTGCATAGGCCAGGCCAGGTTCCCTGTCACCCTCGCGTTCTGCAGACATGGCGACCGTACCTGGCTGGGGAATGTAGACATAGTGACTAGCGCCACACCACGCTCGGAACAGAAGGCTGTGTTTGGAGACGTTGGAGCTGTGGAGAGACCCAGGCAGGCTGCTGGGACCCGGAGCCGTCTACCAATCACACCTGCCGTCCAGTCCCAGCTGCCACCCCCATTGTCCCCCAGCGAAGGCCTAGAACCCTACCTGCCTTTCAGGTTCTTCCGGCACAGGAGGCTCCTCAGATACTCCTCATGGTAGCTGCCCTGCCACCCCTGCTGATACACACAGAGGCTTTAGCAGACAACACACCCTGGAATCGGGCCCCAGGCAGGTGCTCTGTGCACAACCTACTGAAGGCCTCTCAGTGCTGGCCAGCCCTTCTAAGCTCTGTCTCTAGCTCCCTATTGCTTTACTCAGTTGCCACTTCCCTCCCAGCCCACCCTCCTGGAGATTCACGGAGCAAGGCTGGGGCAGAGGAGAGCCTGGGTCCCAAGACTCAGGCGGCCATCCCAGGATGGCAGCCCCAGACCTCAGGCTGACCATGAAGGCCAGAAGATGTGTCTGCACTGTATTCTGTGCCTTGAGCTGCCTGGGCAGCGGCTAAGGCCCAGGAGGAGCAGGTAGGTGACAGCTGGCCCTGACTCCCCCGGAGGGCAACCCTGGGTCTCCCAGAGGGGAAGAAGGGGCCAGCTCTGAGTGTGACAGTGGTCCTTGGAGCCATCTGGGAACAGTAGGAAGGGACAGAGAAGCAGGCACAAGGCAGTGCAGCAGCCAGGAGCACAGGGAAGCCAATGACCTTCTGGGACCAGAAGGGCTGCCCCACCACCACCCCAGGGAACCTGCCTCCACCCTGCAACCCTGCTCCCCTTGGCTCTCAGGGCCGGTCCCTGCCTCTCTGCCGAACTCAAGCCGACACAATATAAGTGCACCTGTTCCTCACCTGCCCAGTTGTAGGGGGTGAGGGGCAAGAGCTGTCATGGCAGCCCTGCCCACTGTCCTCCAAGGGGCTCCCTGCCTCTGCCACCTGCACCATTAGCCTTCCTCTAGTCAGTGCCTTCCCCCCCCTCTGCCCATTACCTCCCCGAGAGCCAGGCATCTCGGCTGACTCTCAGATCAGAGATCTGCCCTTCCTTCTGCCTGCAACGCCCACTCCTGGCTTACTCTCCTTCCATCCCCTTCTCCCCCAGAGAACCCTCCCAGACCTCCCTTCAGCCGACCTACAGCTGCCTGGCCACAGCTCTAGATGCCGGCACGGTTGGCTCTAACACCTGCAGAGCTCAGATGACCCCTGGGCTGTCTCCTCTCCAGCCATGAGCAAGAGCCCACCCCAGCCTACGCCGGGCCTATCTGTACCTTGGAGCTTGCTCCTGTCTTGAGGCTGAAGCTTTGCAGCAGCTGCACCAGATACCAAAGGCTCAGAAGCCCGAGGCCCAGCAGGAGGGGCAGGGAAGCCAGCAGCGCGTAGTACCTGTGGATCTGCACAGACGAACGCACACCCAGACTCACCATCTGCCCAGCTGCCAGCCAGCCCCTTCCCACCTCCACCTGGGGCCTGCAAAGGCATTCCCCAACTCCAGGCTTCCCAGGAAGGCTAGGCTCTGGTCCCTGGAAACCCAGAGGCGGCCCCAGGCAGGCTGCCCTACCTCCCTGGGTTGTCAAGTCTCTTGGCTACCTGTTAAGTGACGTGCAATTTATTGAAAACCAGCAAGTACAGTGTCTGGATGGTGGGAGACTCATCCCTCTTCCCTCCTCCCCTCAAATACTCTAATGTCTGCTTTCACCCCCAGGGTTATCAACTCCAACTCCAAGAGGGAAACTAAATTTCAAATAGGCCAGCGCCATGGCATAGTGGGTAAAGTCATTGCCTGCTGTGCCGATATCCCATATGGGCACCGGTTTGAGTCCTGGTTACTCCACTTCTGATTCAGCTAACGTGCCTGGGAAGGCATCAGGAAAGGGCTCCTTCTTTGGCCCACTCCCTTCCCCTCATCCCTCCTTGACCCCACCCCCTGCTGACCACGTGCACCCAGAGATAAAAGAAGCTGCCATTGTGAGCCAGTGGCTACCTTGGGTGTTTGGGGACACTCCACCTTCTGCCATATCTGCACCCCAAGATGGGCCCAAGATAGCACACTGCCCAGCAGGTACGCGACCCGGTGTCCAGCTGTGGCGCAAGCGGCCAGAGGGTACAGGAGGGCAGGGTAATAGAGTAAGGCCAGCATCCTCCAGGGCCCTGGAAGGCAGCAGAGGCAGAGAGAGAGTGACATGAGATGAGCTGTGGGAACAGGGACTGGGCTGTCCACCCTCCAAACCCCTCAGCTGGCCTGCGTCTATGGGGCCACTGGGAGCGGGAAAGAGTCCTGGGTTCAAGTCCAGGTGGGCTCAGATGAGGAAAGGGCTGCGATCCAGGGCAGGTTACCTCTCGAGGTCTCAGTTTCCCCATCTGTGAAATGGGAACAGCGGTCGGCAGATTAGCAAAAATGAAGCAAAAGGAGGCTCCTGCTCTGCCACCCTCCTCTTCCCAGCCTCCTGCCCCTCAGTGTCCATCTGGTGGAAATGGGGGATCGTGTGCCACCCTTGGTAGGTGGGAGCTTCAAGGGAGCCATGGTGCTTCCTGTGATAACATCTCCCTCCACCTCCCCGAGCCAGGCTGGAACTCCCTGCCACCCTGGGCACTGCTCCAGGTACCTGGGCTGGGAGGCGAGGCAAGGGACAGGAAGGGCAATGGGTCCTCGTCAGAGAGCAGAAGGCACAGTGAGCTGAAGAGGACCACGAGGAGAACAGCGGGCACCAGCAAGGGGCTGTCCCTGGCCAGGAAGTCCACAGGGCTGGGTAGAGGTGGTGGAGATGGGAGGACATGGCTTAGCTCCTTGGCACTGCCCCCTGCCACTTCCGGGCTGTGTTCCAAGCTCGGAAAGGCAGAGCCAGTCCCACTTTCATTCATTCATTCTTCACCCAAACATTCATCCCACAGATCTTCAGAGCAGTGCCTCCTGCCTCTCGCAGGCTGGGACACACAGACAGGCACAGGTCCCAGCAAGGTTCTCTCCGCCCCCACGGCGGAAGCCCCAGGAAGTGGCCACCCCCACAGGCCCGGTCCACGTGTCTGGGCTGGTACAAGTTTGGAGAGTTTGGCCAAAATACTATGTCCTTGCATAACTCAGTTGCTACCAGGTGAGGCATAGCCTGGGCAGGGGGGCAGACGGGGAACACAGCGGTCCCCCTCCCCCGGCACCTCCCTAGGACCTGGGGATCTGCATCCCAGCTGGGGACCTGCATCCCAGCTGGCCCTGGTGCCTGGGGTGCTCTCTCCTGCTGCTTTTTCCACCAAGGCACTGCATGGGGCAGGGTCTGGGGTACCAGGGGGCCCTCTTAAGCTCTCTCTCCCACCTATCCCACCCCAAGGTCCCGGAGAGGCACGTACCCAGGGCTGCCCTGCCTGGGGCCTCCCACTGAAGCTCTGGGGAACCCTAGAGAGAAGCCCCAGGCTAAGGGAAGGTGAGGTTCCGGAGGGGAGAGCTGCCTTCTCGGGACCCAACCCCCACCCTCCCGCTCTTGAGTGGCGGCACCAAACCCTTCCCCTGGCAAACCAACCTGGGCAGTGCTGGCCAGCCACGCCCACAGCAGGGCCAGAGCCGGCGGCGCCTCAGGGTCATAGCCAGTAGCAGCAGGGCCAGGAGCTGGAGGTTAGCGCAGGGGAATTAGTGCGCGTGTGGGGGTGGAGGGGAGTTGTAGGGGCTGAACTTTGCCTGTGGGCCTGCATCAACCTCAGCAGCACCCTCCTACCTCACCCAGCACGCTCCAGCTTGTCCCTCCCACCTCCATCCTGCCCCACCCTACTCACCCCACCCCTCCAAGTTGGCGGCAGGTGCAAACCCAGCTGGCTTCACCTGGGGGACTTACCGACAGGGCAGCCAGGCAGGCATGCGGCAGGCCAAGCGGCACACTGGGCTGGCAGGCGGACACTGCCCTGCAGAGCAAGCGCAGGTTGGCTCAAGCCTGGCCAGGGCCTCCCCTGCCGTGGGCACTGTCTGGGGTCCAGGGCTCACACCTGTCTCCACTCCACTGAGGCCCCACCCACCCACGTCCAGCCCGTGTCCAAACTGTCCCTGTTCCTGTAGTAGGCCCACCCCCCAGCAAGCTCTGATGGGTCTGGGACACTGCCAGGGCAAGCAAAGCTGCTTCCTATCCTTAGGAACTCACTGCATGTCTCCTCCTCCAGGAAGACTTCCTGATTGTTCCTGGCCTCACACATCTCTTTCCCAAAAGCAGGGTTAGACTTAACGACCTGGGTCAAGCGGGTGAGCGCTTGGTCTTCTAATCTGCCTTCCATTCCCAGATGTAGCAAGAATCACTATGTACAACTGGGCAGGTTGCACACTGCACATGGATGCCCAGAAAAGGAAACAGCCGTGGTCTTGAAATCCAGGTCTCAGTGTTCACCAAAGTCCATTCTTACTTAACTAAAGATTCTCACACAGAGTCAGAGAGACCCAAGAGGACATTTCAGGTGTCAAGAGGCACAGAAGGGGGTCGGGGCTGGAGCTGGGCAGGCAGGCAGGCAGGCAGGCCCGGGCCTGGAGGAGGGGTAGGCTTTCTGGGCACTGTTGCAGACAGAGCTGAGTGACTGTGCACTGTAGTTGGAGTTCACCTGCCAGGGGCGGAGTGGGGAAGGCCAGGCCCGCCCTTGTGAGCACCTCCTGCAGGGGGAAAGAAAAACCAACCACGGGGCCTGGGGCCTTCTCTTCCCGGATGGCCCTGGCTCCCCCTGGGGAAATCCCAGGGAGAGGGGGGAACTGAAAGGCCACTGGGCTTGTCCTGGGAGCAAAGGGGCAGCGTGCCACATGGGTCAGGTGGGTTCCCTGTGTGTGTGTGTGTGTGAGAGAGAGAGAGAAAGAGAGAGAGAGAGGCAGAGAGAGAGCGCCTGGTGCTCTCTGTTCTCACCCAGGGTCTGGGCTCTTGCCCAGCCTGCACGTGCCCACTCCCAGCCCGTGGCTGTCCCTTGTTGTGGATGTAGCCAGAACACGCACCAGGCAGGGAGTGCTGGGTACCCTTACCCTGCAGAGCCCTCTGTCTGCCCCTAAGGTCCCAGGGAGCGCGTGACCACCCAGTGGCACCCAGCACAGAGATCTGCCCCTACCCGAAGAGGCAGGGCTGGAGGCATGTTAGATAATGGAAAGGGGCGGGACTGGCACAAGTGGGAGAAGCAGGACGGGGCTAGGTGCACCTTTGCAGCCCAGGGGACACTGGATGAACATTCAGAGGGGTCTGGGTTTTAGATCTGTGTGGCTGGACCAGGTCTGGGTCGCTCCTGGCTGCTGCCCCGCGCCCCCCCCCCACCCCGCCCCGTGTCTACCGCAGGGACAGCAGGGAGCGCTGAGAGCTGTGACGCCCTGGGCCTAGGGCGGCTGACTCAGACAGACAGACAGGGTTGAGCTCCAGGTCAGCTCGCTGGATTCCCCCTGAGCTTGCAGCTCCCTGCTCTGGGCCCTGGGGCCCCGCAGACAGCAGCAGCAGACTGCCTTGGATCAAACAGTCCCATTCACTCAGGGTTGCTATGCCCAGGGCTCAGAGCAGGGAACAGTGGACTGCCACGCTACACCACCACCTGTAGAGGCAGGGAGCCTAGGACTGTCCTGGAAATAAGCAGGGGAGGGGCACCCCCCAGGTCCAGGGTGGTCAGCTCCTGCCATACCTTAGCCCTCCTTCCTCCCACAACCTCCGCCACCCCCCCAGGCGGCAGCCCCGCCCCCTGGAGTGGGGAGAGGGGACGCACGTATGCTGCTGGGCTTCTCCAATTGCACAGTTGATGGGAAACAGATGTGTACACATCTGGCACAGCCCCGGTCCTCCCCACCCCCCAGCCTCACCTCTGCCACTCCCCAGGCAGCAGCGGGACAGGATAAAGGGGCCAGGGACAACAGAGGAGGGGCCGGCGCTCGGCCCCCCACAGAGACATCCTGGGCAACTGGCAGGGGGTTGGGAAGGACCCGGAGCCCCTCCCTCAGACCTAACAGAGGTAAAGGGAATCTGGGCAAAGTTGGTGGTTTTGGGGGTGGCTAGTGGCTGGCTGACCTGGACATTCTTTCTAAAGACAATGGGAACCACCGCCCCCTCCCTCCCATCCCAGCCTCCATTGGATCTCCCCCCTCCACCCCTCCCTCCAGACCCTGCCACTAGCCAACCCGCCCGAGAATGGTCACACACAGTCAGCCCCCCCGCCCCCACCCTTCCCCCTCGGAGTCACCCAGCCACACGCCCACCTGCTAGGGTAAGAATTCCACAAGGGTGAGAACCAGGAATCTGTATTTCTCTGCTTTCTGAAGGTGGGCAGCCTGGCCCAGGAACCCCAACCAACCCCAGAACCTCTCAGCCAGGCAAGAAGAGTGGCACGGAGTGACAGAGGTAACAAAGGCAGCGACCAAAACCCGAAGCCACACAGTGCAGGCCAGGGTCTCACCCACCACCCCCAGCCCCCTGGGTGCACTCACTCAGCAGGCTGGGGCGCCTCCGGCCCCTGGGGTTCGTCGATGTACCAGCTGCCGTAGGCATCATCATCAGCAGCTGCAGCCGGCTGCCTGGTAGGCTGTCTGGTTTGGTTACCGGCTGCCTGGGAAGCCATGGTCAGGGCCTCCTATCCTCTGACTGCCCCCTGGGACAGGAAAGGCCAGAAATGCCAGTGCGAATATCAAAAGAGATTTAAAAGGCTGGGAAAGAAAAAAAAATTCCAAACAAAGAAACATTTTCTTTTTAATCCTAAAGGTTACTTTCTTGCCTTTGGCTGTCTGGGAAGAAAGCTGGGAGCCCCGGGGGCAGCCAGCCCCAGCAGTCAGGGCAGGCAAGGGTCCTCTCCAGTCCCTACCTGCCTGGTCTCGCCTGCCTGCCCTCAGCTGGCCACCCTTGAGGGAGGCCGTATGCCCCCCCCCGGGGACCCTGGACCCTCGCAGGAGCATCTGCCCACCCCTCCCCTCTCCCCAGCTCACCCAGTAAAGGGACCCACAGACATACCTCTGGGGGGAGGGAAGAAGGGGTAGAGGGGCTGGAGGGGCCCTCCCAGCCCCCCACTCCCAGCCCCTGCTGTAACCCCAGACTCCCAGGATACCATCCCCTTCAGACCACATAGCCCGCTAGTAATGAGGCCACAACTCCACCAGGAGACTGGGTGTGTGGCTAGGCTCGTCCCCCCCCACACACACCTGCCGTGTACACCACGCGCACGTGGACATACCTGCCCCACAGCTCCTTCCCCTGTGCCTGCTGGCCGCCTCTGCAAGGTCCCACCAGCCGGCAACCCGAGGAGCTGGGGCTGGGGCGGAGAACTGGGGAGGTTAGGGAGGCGGGGAGGGGGTGTCCCACCTCTTCCTTCCCGCCCCCCCGCCAAACTCCTTCCACGAAGGACCAGCTGTGCCTGCTCCCCAGTAGGACCTTTCTCTGTTCCTGTGATTTCACAAGGAGATACAGCTCACACCCACAGGCGGAAACCGCCCCTCCGAACTCCAAACCAGACCGCCAGTGGCCGGGCAGACGGCAGCCACGCCTCCCTGCCAGCCCCAGGGCTCCTCCAGTGTTTGAGGTGAAGGTGAGGGGGAGTTGAGGTTCAGGGTCCAGCCTGAATTCCTGCAACCACCACCCCCACCCCATCCTAGTTACAGTGAAGAAGTCAGCACGTGCTGACTCAGAGCTGAACCTGAACTTCATCTGACACAAGGCCCCAGGGCCCAAAGTGGGAAGAACATTGCTGGCCCGCCTGTGAGTGCCCTAAGGGCAGAACTCGGCCCCTGCACCCCAACTTCCCCAGCTGCCTGCCCTGGGCAAAGGGGCATTCATTCTGTACAGGCTGCCCTGTGTGTGTGGGGGTGGGGGGAATAGCCTCCCTCTACTGCCAGCCAGAGTCCAGCCCCCTCTTCATGCCAGCTCCCCCTTCGATGCCTCGCGGGATTCGGGGTCCAGCCCTCCAAGCACAAAGTGGAAAAGCCTGTGGTAACAGCTATTGTCTTGGGCCACACCCCCAGTCACCCAGCCCTAGAGTCAGTTCATTGCTTGTTTCATTCTGGGCCAGGCAGTAGTCTGCCCATGGCCAACACAGTGGCAAGGGAGCCAGGGGGATAACTTTCTGGGCGGGGGGGAGGTGTGTGTGTTAATCCAGGGAGGGCTGCATGAAAGAGGTGTCAGCCCCCAGCCCAGCCCCACCTCTGTCCCTTCTCCATGGTCCCCCTCCCTTCCTGGAATAGCCCATTACCCGCTAGGCCACCTCCCCTTTGCTTCAGGAAGCCTGGTCCTACTAGCAGAGACCGGGTCCTGTGCTGGGGCAGGAACAGAAGGGAGCTGGTGGGGAAGAAGGACAGGGGTTCCCTGGCCTGGAACTTGAGCCGGGGCTGGTTGTGAGGACTTGGGTGAGTCTCTGTCTGGGTCCAGGGTGGCCGCCCCCGCTGCACCTGGCCTGCACCTTCTCCCACTGTGGGTTTGCCTGCCCATGGTGATTTCACAGCCCAGGAATGCAGAGACATGGAGTGGAGCCATGGGGACTACCCAGGTGTCCTGCTGCCTCCTACCACACAGATCCAAGGTGGGCAGTCAGAGAGGGTGGCAGGCTAGGTCAAAGATCTGGGGATAACAGAGCACACTCTACTTTTTTCCTTTGTACAACACTTTAAAAGTTCTCATATGGGCGCCAGTTCTAACCCGGGTGCCCCTGCTTTCCATCCAGCTCCCTGCTTGCAGGGAAACCAGTAGTGGATGGCCCAAAGCCTTGGGATCCTGCACCTGCATGGGAGACCTGGAAGAAGCTCCTGGCTCCTGGCTTCAGCTCAGCTCAGCTCTGGCCATTGTGACCACTTGGGGAGTGAGTCCTCGGGTGGAAGATCTTTCTCTCTGTCTCTCCTTCTCTGTATATCTGACTCTCTAACAAAAATAAATAAAATCAATCAATCAATCATTTCGGGCCTGGTGTTGCAGTGTAATGGGTTAAGTTAACTGCAGCCATATGGTGCTGGATGGAGTCCTGGCTGCTCCACTTTCGATTCGGCTCTCTGCTAAAGGTCTGGGAATGCAGTGGAAGATGGGCCCCTGCACCCCTGTGGGAGACCCAGACCGAGATGAATCTCCTGGATTCAGACTGGGGCCATTGCAAATGAGCGAACAAGCAGATGCAAGATCTCCATTCTCTGTAACTGTTTTTCAAATAAATTATAAGAAAAAAAAAAAAGAGTCTTGGAAATGTTGAAAAGAGGAACCCAGAAGGTGAGGGGAGAGCAGCAGGTCAGGGGTCAGAGTGGGGGTGGGGGAAACCCTTTGATGGAGCCCAGGCCAGCTAAGCTCTCAGCTGCACACAGGGTCCTAAAATGCTCCAGTGTTCCATGGAGGCTAGCCAGCCTTCAAGCCTGGAGCCCCAGCCGCCCTGGCCCTCCAGGCTGGCCCAGGAAAAGGTCATGGAGCAGGTGGCTTGCCTCCCGTTAGCGTTCAAGTTGATTAAACCCCAGGAATTCTCGCATCCAGGATCAGAGGCCCACGTGCAAGCCTCCTGCGGTCCTGGGTTATCAAAATCCTCAGAGGGCAAAGTGCTGAGCAGGAGGGAAGGAGGCCTGCGGTGGCACCAGGAAACCCAGCAACACCCCCCAAAGGCTCCCTAAACCCCTGCTCGGCTGCAGCGCACCACTGCGCTGCCACCTCACAGCCCTTGCAACCTCAGGGCTGCACCCAGCACCCTCCTCCTGCACTGGCGAATGGGGTGCAAGTTACAGCCCTGAACACTCCCCCTCCCAGGGACTCCTCTGCTCCCCCAATTCCCATCCCAGATTCCAGGCAGAGGCTGGGAATCCCAAGAGTGCCCCATCTCCCAACATAGATCCCCCAGAGCGGACCCAGGGAGCAGGTATGGGGGGGAGGGAGCACTGTGCCTGCCTGGGGGGCTGCCCTGCAGCCCCCAGAACCTTAGGGTGAATGCCCAAGGTCGAGCCTTCCTACCCTCCCAGGGCAGGCAATGTGCTGGGGTCTGCACACTGCACCCTCCTATCCTGGGCTCATTCATGCTTACACCCCAAGCTACCCCCTAGCCTGGCTCCAAGCATCAAAGAGGGCGGGAGGGCAGGCTGCCAAACTCACTCCACACTACACACCACCCCTCCTCCCCGTCCCCCACTGCCGGGTTGGGGGCTCCAGGAATTCGCAGGGTCCTGGCCCCTCACTGAGCCGGGCTCTCTTCCAATCTCCCCACGTGGACCACAGGACTCCCCGCTACACCCCACACCCTTGCGGTTGCCTCAGCTGTTCTCCACCCCAAACCTGGCCAGATCCTACCAGGCCCTCGTGGCTCAGGCCCTCTCTCGTCTCTATTTCCTTTCCCTCCAGGCGGGCTGGGGCGTCCTCTTCGGGGCCGGCAGGACCAGGGGACAAGCCAGCGACTCAAGGGCTAATCCAGCAGTGTCCCAGGGCACCTGCTGCAGAGTCAGTGTGACTTCCACTTCCAGAAAAGCAGCCTCTCCCGTCCCAGTTAGGGCCCTGCCCCTCCTCTTGCCACCCCCCAAGACCACCCTCTGGGAAGCCCACCCCTCCCCCACCTTGCAGCTCGGGCCGTGGGATAGGGCCCCACACAGGCAGCCAGGCTCCCGCCCCGCCTCCACCTGCCCTGGAGCCTCCTCCCTCCCCACCCCCAGAAACCATTTGGCCGAAACTTGATATCCCTGGCCCAAGAGTTACCTCCTGGGGGAAGCCTGCCCCATCTGAAAGGGCTCCGGATCCCCTACCTGCTGCCATTCTTCAAAGTCACTCACTTCTCTGAACCCGCCCACCACCCACCACCAGTCAGCCATTTGTAACCCATCACCCTCCCACTGTTGCTGCCCAGGCAGGGACACTGACCAAATTTTCAGGAGTTTGGGGGGCCAGAATTCCAAATGTGATCCCTCCTGGTGCCAGGGAGGTGGAGTCTGTGTCCCTAGGCAGTGTCGAAGGCACATTCCTGCCACCCCAAGACCCTGGGATGTATCTCTGTCCCTGACCCTGATGCCTGGGTAGCGCAGAGAGCACAAGCTTGGGATTGGGGATGATGGCTCCCTCATGGCAAAGACCCCAGGAGTATGGGGTCCCCCTGCAGGAGCTAAGCCAGCTCTGCCTCAAGCCCCCGACCTCCACTTTCCCCCAGTGAGAAGAGAGGGGGACCACACGCAGCATTTGCTGGAATCACCTGCTCCATGGGGCTCTGGCTCTTCCACACCTTGCAGAGTGCGTGGGGAACAGGTGTCCTCACGGAAAAGCACGCATGCAGTTCAGATTGCTGGGCACCCCACAAGCCCAGGTCTGAATTCTGTTCTTTGTGCTCCTTCCCAAGACCTCAGAGCTGTTGGCTACATCAGGGGGCCCCCCGACATCCAGCCTGACACCCACCTGTAGCGCTGTCTGCTGGGTGCCTGGACATGCCCGATGCTTAGGACCCAGACAGCAAGCACCAAAGTGCTGTGCCATTCTAGCCAGCATGTGTGGCAGAGCTGGCAGACACAGCAGGCACCACTGTGGTCACACTGGGGGAATGGCAAACGGACGAATACCTTGTCACTTGCTTGTAACAAGTCCTTAGGAGTCTGCCTCACACATGTCTTTGGCTTTTCATAAGACCTCATGGGAATCCAGCCGGGAGTGGGGCACTGGAAGAGCCTGGGATTGTTCATTTGCTAGCTTTCTTGAAGCCAGATTCAGCCCCGACTCTCTAAGTCTCGGCCAGTGAGCCGGACAAAGAACTATGAAGCACAATGCCCAGGAAGGATTATTCAAACAGAACAATGTCTTCTGTAATGCTTGTTCCTGGCAGCTGGCTGGGATGCAGTCTGGATTACTGGATCTCAAGCAGCCATCCTGGGCCATGAGGAGGTCATGCATTAGCTGGGATAGGGCAGGAGGTTTGCTGCAATGACAGAGCCCCAGTAAAGGCCAGGTAGCAAGGCACAAGGAGACCTAGACACACATGAGTCAAGGTTCTCTCACTGTCAAAGCATGCCTGAGCCTAGATACGGCCCATGGCTCAGGTCAGTATTTGAACTAGGACAAACTTTGCCAGAGACTCTCTTTTCCCCTGACTATGACACACCAACCCCTGGCTTCCCTGTACCTCTGAACTTGGTCATGTCCAGTGTTGCCCCTGCCCTCCTCCTCCCCAGTACCTGCTGCTGGCCCTGTCCCCAGACACCTGCCCCCTACTGTCCCCAGGGTGGGATGGGGGACACCAAGTCAGCAGGGTGCTATATCAGGCTCCAAGTCCCAGAGCAACTGGACACTCCGCGGGCGAAGGTCACTCTTTTGGCGCTGCCGGTCAGACTGCCCTCGGCCTCTGCCATGCCGGGAACTTTAGCCTCTCCATCCAGGCAAAGCTGGCAGAGCAGGGGGCCTGGCCGGGACAGCCCAACTGCCCTTCCTCCAGCCCCAGCTCCAGCAGGAGGCAGCGGCACTGACCCAAGGTCCTGGGACCCGGTGCCCAGTGTGGGGCCTGCAGCAGGAGGCTAGCAAGGGAAGTGCCACCGCAGGCCTGGGGACAGTTTCCAGGTCCCTTGGGGAAGGAACCAAGCTTCTGACTTCATTTTTAGTACATTCTTCCCCTGCTCCAGGCCTTGAGCTCCCCAGCTCTGTAATGGGCAAGCTCAACTCCAGCCACTCCACCTCCCCGCCACCAACCGCTTCACTGTGTGTGACTTGAAGGATGTGGGCTGTGGGCCTGGGCCCTGCAGACAGGGCTGGGACGGGGCAGGGGCAGGCGGGGCAGAGGGAAGGGACTGCTGGGGCAGAAGGCTCAGGGTGCCTGGCATCAAGGAGAGAAAGGAGAGGTCCACCGGGCGCATGCCCACCCACCCCTCACCACCCACCTGATGCTTGCAGTCTGGCCCCTCCTCCGCGGACCGGCAAGGGAGGATCTAGGATCCGCGGCAGCTGTAGGGAAGTGCTTGACTCTGCTCCCAGCAGGGGCGGGGTTGGGGAGGGGGAGCTGGAGGTGGGTCCTGGGGTAGGGGGTCTCAGAGCCCTCGGGAAGAAGGGGAGGCTGAATGGAGCCTTTGTGGGCAGGCGGAAGCCGGCCCCTGGGGACGGGCTAATTACAGCCCAGACAAAGCCGGTGGCCACTCCGCGAGGGGGAGGAGAGCTGACTCCAGAGCCCCATTAAGGGCTTTAGTGTAGGACTGCCCAGCGGCAGGTGGCTTTGTTTTGTTATTTTTTTTTTAAGATTTGTTTATTTTATTGGAAAGGCAGACGTACAGAGAGGAGGAGAGACAGAGAGGAAGATCTTCTGTCCGATGATTCACTCCCCAAGTGGCCACAACGGCCGGTGCTGCACCGATCCAAAGCCAGGAGCCAGGAACTTCTTCCGGGCATCCCACATGGGTGCAGGGTCCCAAGGCTTTGGGCTATCCTCAACTGCTTTCCCAGGCCACAAGCAGGGAACTGGATGAAAAGTGGAGCTGCTGGGATTAGAACCAGAGTCCGCACGCAAGGTGAGGACCTTAACCATTACATTCAAGGCGAGGACCTTAATCATTACACTATTGTGCTGGGCCCAGCAGGTGGCTTTGGAAGACAGATTGAGGCTATCCCCTCCTGCACCTCATCTTTCCATACCCCTCCCCAACCCTGCTCCTCCTGTTGGAGGCCCCCTGCAAGGAGTGGAAGGAATCCTGGGAGGGGACAGCAGGGACCTGGCCCGGTGTACCTGTGGTGACTTCTTGGGGTGACTCCCTGGGGTTGCCCATCCCCATCCCCAAGTGCCTCTGCCTTCCTTCTCCGCCAACCCAAGGCAACTGGGGCACACCCAAGTCTCGGAGTTGGAGCCGCAACCCCAGGGACAGAGCAAATGTTGGCGGGGACCACCCCCCCCCTCCACACACACACACACACACACACGCGCGCGCGCGCAGCTAAGCCTGGACTCGTATGGGCAGGTCTCACAGGGCCTTCTGCTCCACGTGACTGCAGGGGAGCCTTTCCAAGTGAGATCAGTGCCTTATGGTTACCTCTCAGCACACCCTGCAACCTGCGTATTTCCTGGCACCTGTTCAGCAGGGAGTGGACATCGACTTAGAATGCCTTCGTTGCATCTTAGCAATCCTCTGTATTTAGTTACCTGCTCACTTGTTCATTTACAAGGCGGAGTTACAGAGAGGGAGAGAGAATCTTCCATCTGCTGGTTCACTTCCCCCAGATGGTTGCAACAGCCAGGGCTGGGCCAAGCTGAAGCCAGGAACCAGGAACTTCATCCAGGTCTCCCACGGGGATGGCAGGAGCCCAAGGATTTGGGTCATCCTCTGTTATTTCCCAGGTGCATTAGCAAGGAGCTGGATCAGAAGTGGAGCAGCTGGGGCTTGAACTGGTACACAGATGGGATGCAGGTGTTAAAATCAGCAGCTTAACCCACTGTGTGAGTTGGAAAGCAGCAGCTTTCTGTCTTTGTGTCCACCTTGGGGGACGGAGGCGGGGAGCGAAGGAATGATGAAGCAGAGGGAACCTGGCTGCTTTTGTTGCCCCAAGCAGTCCCAGCTTCCTGGCTTGTTACTTGGTTTACTCTCCAAACAAACAGAGAGGGTTGGGTGTGGCCCTAGGTGCCCAGCCGGACAAGGGGTGGGGGTGGGACAGGCTGCAGCCTGTCCTCTGCAGTGGAGTCAGCCGCTGCCTGTGGCCATGGCCTCCAGAGGCCCCGAGCCCTGGGCCCCTGCCTCCATGCTGCAGCCAAGGAGGCTGGAGGACCAGACCTTGGACCTGGAGTTTGAGCTCCTGAGCGTGGGGTTCCACCAGGCAGGCAGATACGTCCTGAGGCTGTCAGCTGAGAACCCCCTGCAGGCAGGCTCCGGGTCTGGGGTGCAGCTGCGGGTGAACGGTGGGGATCCCCTTCCTGCCTCTTCAGCCCTCACCAACGTCATTGAGCAGCGGGATCCAGGCCAGAGTTGCACCCTCACCAGGAACAAGTTTGTCTTCACCTTACCCAAAGGTATGTCAGGGGTGGGAGACAGGGGGACCCCAGGGAGCTTCAGGGGAACTGGGAGGACGGGGATCTTGGATCATGGAGCTCTGCCCATGTGACCTGAGGCAGGAGTGTGAATGAGAGGAGTAGAGTGCAAGTTTGGGGCCCATTCTGAGCAACTGAGGGGGGCTTCAGACCCAGCCCCTGCCAATACCCAGCTCCTGAGCACCCTGGGACGGTGGGGACAGAAGGCAGAGCCCTGCAGGTAACAGAGCAGACGATACACAACTGGACTGTGAGGATGCCCTGGCCAGCTTCCTGGAGGACGTGGAATGCAGAAACCTCGTCTCCTGGGGCTGTGGGTGGCCACAAATCTAGGGACTGAACCTAGCGCCAGCTCACAGGCTAAGAACCCTCCCTGCCTCACCCCTGTGAACCTGGCTCTGCCATGGCCGGGCATGGGGAGCGGGACCCCAAGGGCTCACCTTTAGGGGAAATCTTGCCCAAGGCTGCTTGCAGTCACCCAGAGGTGAGCAGCCCGAGTCCTTCCCACGGGAGGGAGGGGGAACCTGCCCACCCTACTCGCCGCCCCCGGCAGAGGCAGGGAGTCCTGAGCCCGCCCCTCTGTCCCTCCCCCAGGCTTTTGTAGGAACGATGGGCAGAACGACGCGCAGCTGCGGGTGGAGGCGCTGAGGCTGGACGGAGGAGCCCCTGGAGGGGCCGCCCGGCGGGTGGGCGAGGCCATCTTCCCCATCTACCCACGGCCTGACCAACCCCGCATGAACCCGGCCGCCCGTGCCCACGAGGACTTGTACCGATACCGTGGCAGCCTGGCTCTGCTCCGCACAGGCGCGGACCCCTCCGCTCGCCACTGCGGGGGCCTGGCCTACAGCGTGGCCTTCCACGCCCACCGGGACTCTTGGCCTGGCGAGTCGGCCTGCCCTCAGGCGCCCGACCAGCCAGCACCCACGCAGCCACATGCTGAGCCCTCACTGCTGCCCAGACTGACACAGGTGGGTACTCCCTGGGTCCCAGCCTGGGGTCTCACGCTCATCAGGCACAAGACCCCAGTCCCTCCCTGAGCAAAGCAGCAAAGAGACCTCCACCCCTAAAGCTGCCCGGTTGGGTTGTGGGGAGGCACTGGACAGTGCCTCTTTGAAGGGGTTACGGAAAGGGGGCAGGACAGTGGGTAAGGCTGCTGGCTCCACTTCAAGCTCCAGCTTCCTGCTCATGTGCACCCTGGGAAGCAGCAGGTGATCGGTCCCTGCCATCCACCTGGGAGACCTGGATGGAGTTCCTGGCTCCTGGCTTCCGCCTGGCTCAGCCTTGGTAGTTGTAGGCATTTGGGGAATGGGAGGTCTCTAGTCTTTCAAAAAAAAAAGGCAGAGAGCAGGCCCAGTGGGGTTGAATTTCTTAGTGGGTGATCGGCCTTGTCAGCTTATTCCAAGCTGGTCTCCAGTGCCCTCAAGATAGAAGTCACTTCAGCATGCCCACCCTGCAGCCCAACCAGCTCCCATCATGACCAGCAGGGGCTCCACCCCAAACCAGACCACTGGGGCTGCAGTCTGAGGAGCTGTCCCTGACCCCTCTACCAGCTGGCACAGGTAGGAGGTGGTGGAAAAAACATGGCCCATTTCACAGGTTAGCAAACCGAGGCCTGGGGATGTTAGGTTTCGTCTCAGCACTTCCTGGGACCCTCAGTGCCTGGGATCCAGCACTAGATCACTAGGGGTTTGAAGTAGGGACATGGAATTGACCCTGTCGAACCCTGCGCTGGGAGCGGGACCGGCGGGGGGGAGGGTTGTGGTTGGAAGTGTCCACTCGGTAGCTGTCAGCACCCAGGAAGGCCTCTCGGAGGAGGTGCCCTACATATTTGCCCAGGAGCCCTTTGTTCAGTACGTGCCCAAGGGGTGGGGATGAAGGGTGAGATTTAGAGGCTGCAAGTCTAGGCTTTGGGGAGGGTGTCCTAGCTGAGGAGCAAGGGAGGCAGCCCCCTCAGTCTGACCCCACCAGACCCCACCTCTGCTTCCTGCAGCACCACACAGGCTTTGAGCCCTGGGAGAGGCTGCCCTCATCCCGCTGTGCCCAGGGCCACGTGGACGGCCCTGCAGGGAGGGGGCTGGGCTGGCTGTTTTCAGCTATCTTCCCCACTCCACCCCCACCCAGTCTCCCTTTTAAAGTGTCAGATGTCTGCCTCTACTAAGACAAGAAAATGGCTTGCACGGGAGAGAGGAAAATGGCTTCTCTCCTGGGGTCAGCTGTCACAGTCCTGACCACGCCCCCTGCGGGACCGATCCAGAATCTCCTGCCTGCTGAGAGCTCCACCCTGGTCCTGGGTTCCCACCTGCCTGGCTCCCTCAGGAAGCGGGAAGGGGGCCCAGATTCAAGGGTCTTGCTGAAACTGGTGGGGGAGTTGGAGACAGCTGCAGTAGCTGCGGGAATGGGTTCTGGGGCTCCAGATGCAAATATGGAGGCTATAGAGGCCACTTCTTCCAGGAAGCCTGCCGAGCACTTATCCCTTCTAAGCCATCGGCATCAGTCGGCATCAGATGTGCCAACTGTTGAGTGTATTTCATGTAGGATACATGCAGGGACACAGTGGCTTCCAATCTGTGGTGGATGCCACAGTGTCTGGAGCAGAATTGCATTGCTCCTGGGAGGAGGGGAGACCAGGTGGGCAAAGAAAGAGTGATGGGAGAACTGGAGAAGCAGCCACACGCTTCCATGTCCCTCTCTCCCCAACTCCTGTGCCCCCACAGGAGTGGCCCACAGGTGACTGAGCTGGGCTGCAAAGGAGGTGATCCCGCACCCCCATCCGGTGCCAGGGTCCCTTGCTCCAGGTCTCCTGCCAGCCACAGGCGGTGGCGGCTGCCCTTCCCAAGGCCCTGGGGGAGGGAGGGCAGACGTCCCACCTCCAGGCTTCTTTTGTCACCTCAAGCTGTTACCCCAGCACCCCAGAGTTCTGTCTCCTGTGTTCCATCAGACTGGAAGGAGTGTGGCCTGTTTGGCACTGGACAGAGGGGGTCTTAGAGGGTGAGGAAGAAAGGAGGGAGGGAGGGGTCATGGGGGAAGATGAACTTTGGGGGGCATCTTGGACCACTGAAGGGGGACTCAGGTCATTGGGGGGTCTAAGTAGGAGTTCAGGCCATCAGAGGGAATTCTGGGGGAAAGAGACTCAGGTCCTCACGGGATGGATCCTGTGGAACTCTGAAATGTCCAGTGGGGGAGTAGGGTGGAGGCAAGGGACCCCAAGACCCCCAAGCCTTGTAGCAGTGCACCCTTTTCTGCTTAAGCACAAGTACTTAAGAGGGAAACTCCGGGTTGGAAATTCCCTGGAGGTGAAATTTCTGGAAATGAGAATTTGTAGCCAGGCCCAGGGGCTCCCTCCCCACGGCCCCACTTCCTCCCACGCGGCTGAGGCTGAATTCCAGGCAGCGGCAGGAGGAGGGGCCGCGCCAGTCGGCGTCTACTTCCACCGAACAATGGCAGTTCTGTTCCCAACATGGTGTTTCCCAGGAGCCTTTTAAACGCTGCTCTCAAGGTTTTCTCTTTTAATTCCTTCCATTTAAACACCATTTTTTTTCATGCCCTGGAGGAAAAAAAATTTAAAAAGGGAGAAGAAAAAGCTACTAAAGCAATCACCAGGGTTGAGCATCTGGCACGGCGCCCGCAGGTTCTGACCGTGCACTTGGGTTTAGCACCAGCTGGCCAGAGGCTTTTCGTTAAAGAGAAGTGGAGGGGAACAGGCTAACAGCTGGGGGCTCACCCCAAGTCCTCTGTGCCCACATGTCTGGGTCTCCTCTGCCTCTCTCCCACCACCCCAAATCTGTTTCTGGAGTCCCAGAACCCCAATTCCCCCTCTCTGCTCTGCTCTTAAATTTACATTCTGTGCTATTTCGTATGCCCTAGAACTGGGAGACCTAAATTTCACTCATTTTGGAGGAAGGGGGGTGAGGTGGGGAGAGGCAGACCCCTTCACCCGAGTACCAGCCTGTGGCAGTTACCAGCTCCCCTCATCTCCCGTCTCAGCCCATTCTCCAGGGGTGAGAATGAGGGCTGGGGGCAGTGGGAAGAGGCTGTGCCAGGCTGGTACAGGGGTGCACACACCCTTCTCCCCATCCTGGGATCCCAAGCGAGTCCCTCCTCCTTGCCAGAGCCCATCAAACACCCAGCTCCTCATTGCAAATGAGGCAGTTTTATGTGCTTTAGAAAAACACTCCAATTGTTCCCTCAATTACCCCGGAGCAGATTGAATATATTAATCTCTCTCTTAACTCGAGTTAGAGACTCTGCGGCCGCCCCTCCCCCACGCGGCACGTGCCCCAGAGGCTCCCACCCCCTAACTTGGGCCCCAGGTACAGAGCAGGCCACTGCACCCCCTACACCGCGTATCCCCACCCGCACCCCATGCAGGGAGTAGTGACACCGAACTGCCCACAGGGCGCCTGGCAAACACAGCCGTCTCCCCTTCCTGCCCATTGTCCTGGCCTCTCCCTTGCCCGGCTGGGGAGTAAACGCAGGGGCGGGTCCCTGAGAGGGGCGGGAGACTCGCAGCGACACCCACCCTTGCTTCAGCCCGCTGCTGACAATCGCCTGCAGCTTAAACACACTCTGCCCCAGGCAGCTGAGCCCCGCTAAAAGCTACCTGAGGTTTGCCTTTGTAGCTCCATTTTCTTTTCTTTCCAAGAACAAAGGCAGCGCTGTCACCCAGGTGGGGAGGGGTGTGGGTTGTCACCTGGAGTGGTTGAGGCTGGGGAAAGGGGGCATGTGTTGGGGGAGGCACTTCCACTCCCAACTTGGGGGGAGCGTCGGGGGAAGGAGGGGCTCAAGGAACCCCCCAGTAGCTCCCTAACCTTGCCCAATGGGATCTTCCAAAGAGACTCCAGAGTCCCAGGCAGGACTTGGGAGCAAGGCAGGGGAACTGGAGTTTGGGGCTCCTGGCTGGCTGGATGCTGGCTCTGGCATTTATTCAGCAATCATCTCACTTAGGCTTCTCCCAGCCTCCACTTGCACATCTGTGAAATGGGGACAGCAGTGGCCAGACCCTCTTCCATCAGCGGGGTGCGTGGGGTACACTGTGATGCAGGGTTGGAGCTGGACTCAAGCATGCTGCTTTGGGCCTGGGTCTCTGCCAGGTCAGTTGCTTTTCCTTGCTCTGCCTGTGCCCCGAGGCCAGGCTGCAGGGGGAGGTGCTAGTCTGGGCTGAGGCTCCGTTAGCAGATTGCTGTTAAAGGAACATGCCAGATGGCTCCTCCTCCCAGCCACCCCCACCCCACCCCACTAGTTCACACCTCATGGAGGCTGTGCAAGTGTGTGTGTGTGCATGGGAGCACGCGTGCCAGCCACCTGCCATCCCAGGCCCAGCCCAGTAAGCAGCCAGCAGGCTCTAGGACAGGAACCTGGGGGAAAGGAGGGCAAGTGAGGGCCAGAAGACTCGGTGCTGGGGACCTTTTCTGACCCTTCCACCCCTGGCAGGTGGGTGTACTCCTAACTCCTGAGTGTGACCACCCATGAATGCTCAAACGCATACACACGCATGCATGCGAGTGTGCACAGATCTGCTTGTCACATTGAGGACCTGCACACGCAGAACTTTTCGCATGTCTTGCATGCACTTGTATGTGTACACTGTCTCCTGGGGCCTCTGGGCTTCACCTCTGTATCACTCCCTAAGCACAGCCCCCTACCAAGCGAGATAGCCAACTGGGGACCTCACAGGTCCCCCCAAACATGGCCAGGGACAGTACTGGGGCAAAAAGGCTGGCAGTGCCTCCCAGCATCCAGCCCTACCCCCAGCCCCAGCCTAGTTCGGCAGAGGGCTGGGGTCAGGAGCTGTGGAAGCCGGCAGAGTCCAGACCCCCTTCCTGGGACAGACAGAAGATGGCGTAGATGCCCTCTGGCCCTGACAGCGTGCCCTAGGTTGTGGTGATCCCACCTCCTGTGGCATAAGGTGGCATTCGTTCGTCCGTTCATTCATTCATCCTTGGCTTGCCCTCTGAAGCAGTAGTAGAGCAGCAGTGAGACAATGGAGCAAGGTTCTTCCCTGCTGCTTGCCCCCCCCACCCCCACTAGCTAGGGGTCATCCAGGATTCAGCCCGCTCTAAGGGAGACAGCTCTGGCAGGCACTCGGAAGTCTTGGGCCTGAAGCCTCATTTCCCAGCTGCACACAGGCAACTAAGCGGAGACTTGCAACAAGTCACTTAGGTCCCAGGTGGGGGGAATTCTGCCAGATCTCCAGGCTTGGCATTAGGATGAGGTCTTCAAGTGGGGGAAGGGGTGAGCCCTGGGGGCGGAAGCTGGGTGTGGAGGGATGGTCAGAGCAGGTGGAATGTGGGGGTGGGAGTGGTGGGGAGGAGTAGCAGGGGTTGCCATGGGAGCGGGACCAGAGGCATTGAGCTCTCTGCCTGCTGCCTTTGCCAGAAGTGTTTCAGCACCAGGCTCGCAAAGGCAGATTCGGTTTGCACTTAAGGACTGCAGAGCCACCCACCTCAGCATCGCCTGGGTCTTGGGGAGGAAGAGGAGCCAGTGGCCATGTGGCAGGCACGCCCTGACTTGCCCAGGGCCTCTGTGGTGGCAAGGCCAGACTGGCATCCATCTGTCTATGGGTTTCAGTCCTTCTGACTTAGGGACCAGAACCCAGGCTTGAGACTGGGGGCAAAAGTCTTGTGTCTGAGCCAGCCTCCCTGCCCTGTAACCCCTCTGCTCCTCTGTAAGGTGGGCATGGGGACGCCTGCTTTTGCAGTGTGATAAAGGTGCAGGTCAGTCTCACAGCAGCAATCCAGGAGGTCTTTGTGGAAGGAGAGGCCATCCCCAGTGACCTCTAGAAACACACAGGCCAGCTTGGGAAGACCTGATTCCCACTTGGAAGGATGCAGGAGTGGGTCCTACATGGCTCCAGGGACCCCACCACTCCACTGGCCCCCTGGAGGAAGTTTGTAACCTGAGTTCCCATCCATTGCCTACCAGTTGCAGCTTCCCAAAGCTCCGTCCACTGTCACTGAGAGCCAGGCACACCCCGTGGGCACCTCCTTTCTTAGATGGACAGGTCCTGTCCTGGGACTGTGGAGCTGAAGACGTAGTCGAAGGCTCGTTCAGACAACAGAGCAGGGCTCCTGGCACCTTCTTCTGCTCCTATGTCCCACTGTGGGGTGGTGGTGGGCTCGTTGGGCAGAGAGAAGCCTGGGACCGGGGGCAATGGATGGAGCACCAAGAGAGCACAGGGGAGTGAGCCCAGGCTGGTGCAGGGGGTGAGGAAGCCATCCTCAGCTAGGAAGCCCCACCCCCCACCACCGAAACCCTGTTTGTTGGCAGAGTAGAGCTGAGCTGTGGGTGGTGGTGGGAGGAGGTATGTGTGTGAGTGTCTTTGTCAGGAGCCGTGTCCTGTAGCCACACTGAAGCCATTTTGAATATAGAACTATGGGCCAGTGGAAAACCCCCGGCTGGCTAGATGCTTGGGAAAGAAGTTATAAAACGAATCACACGCTTAGCTTCAATTGTTTCTAGCAACTGTTTCAGAATGTGATTTATGCTGTACCTGCCGACATCCTGTTACTGGTTACCTACACTATTGTTGATATGATGGCTGCTCAAGAACAATCGGTCTGGAGACCATGGCTTGCGTCCCAGTTTCTCCTTTCCTCCCTGAGCCTTAGTTACTGAAGAATATAAAAACCCTCAATTAAAATCAATAAACTGACAGCTTGATCAGACATCCTGTCTTGCTGTCCATTCTTCGTGTCTCCTGTCCCTTTATTCTCTCCTAGGTTGGTGGTGACCCCCGTTGACTGTCCTGCGGGACGGGACAGTGTCTTGCACAAGTTCCTCGACACTTCCCCTTCTCTCTCCCCCAGCCCCCCAATACCCTCCGAGGCTCCTGTGCATCCAAGGCCGTCCCAGTGCCATTCGCTGGCTCACTCGGCATGAACACAGTGCTAATGACTTCAATGTGGTGCCAGGGCCAGGGGCTCAGCTACCCGGTGGAGTTGCAGACCAGCTCTGAGCAGGGCGAGACCCAGGCCAACGAGGAGCTAAGTTTCCTTGTATTGGACACTCCTGGAGACCTGCCAGCACCTCTGACCCCCGTCCTGTGGGTGGGAGGGGTCATCCCCAGCTCCCACCACCTGCAGAGGCCACTGTCCCCTTGGGGTGCCATGAAGAAGGGGACCAGGTGGGTGGTGCCAAGAGGCCCAGGCTGGCCAGAGCTGAACAAGACTCTCCTGGGGACAACAGTGTGTCCTGAAGCCCAGAAGGACCAAGGTGTACAATTATGGGGTGGCAGGCCTTGTGAGTGGACACAGCTCCCAACTGTAGCTGGGCCCTCATGACAGGAGGGATTGGGGAGGGGGTAGGGGATGGCTTCATTGCTTGCCCCTTTATTCATTGCCTGGCTAACGAGTTATTGATTTTTCTTTCTTCTTTTTTTAAGAAAAACACGCCATAGACACATTGCATCTTTATCCAGGTGATTTATGTCAGATACCGAGAAGAATCGAGGGCCTGGACCAATGCACCTGCTCCATGCACAGGCAGCCCCGTAGTGCAGCCAAGAGGCCACACCCTTAGCAATCACCTGTCTCAGCTCAGCTCAGGCTCCCCTTGCCAAACCCGGGGCCAGAGGGTTTGGCAGGAACAGCTGGGAAGGGCAGTGAGGGCTCACTGGGGCTGCCGTGGCAGGTGCCCTGTCCTGACACCTCACCTGACTCCACCAAGGTGTCCGCAGAGGCAGGATTGAGCTTGGCCTGTCGGATTCCACACAATCAGATTATCAGATTTTTTTTTTCTCTCTTTTTTGGCCTGCTTGGTGGGATCAGGCTGTCCCAGGGGGCGGGGCCTATAGGAGCAAGGTGCAGAAGACAAAGGGTGGGGGCAGGACTGAGCATGCTCAGTGCAAATTGCAGACATAAAAGTTATCCTTGCCCAGTAAGGACCTAGGGAAAGCCACATTAGCTCTCTGGATCCCAGAGGTTTTGGGACCCCTCGGTGGTGGCCCTGGAATGTCAGCCTGCATCTGTCTGAGGGGATTGGTCGCTTTAGGGACTGCAGTGCCCCCAGCCCTGAGGCTGCCCTATCCCATGGGGAACCTCCAGGCTGTGGCATCTGGCTCTCCTCTCAGATCCCAGTACCTGGGCTGGGCCATCTCAGAGCCGGCTGGCTTCACTGAGGGATTTTTCTCTTCTGGGCTTCACCTCCCTGCCAGATTGTAGAAGTTTCCTAGGGTCCACCTCCCTAAGGGTACCCCCCTGGGTGAAATAAGAGGGTCTGGTAGCTAACACCTGTTCTATGCACGTTACAGAGGCTGGGGGGCATGGAGGCTCAGTAGGGGTATGGCCTCAGCTGCCAGCCAGTTAAAATAGGAACTGCATCAGGGCAGGGTCGGGACTGGCCCCCAGGGGAGGTGAGGGGACAGACCTGAGCTGCTGGTTCAGCAGTTTCTGCTCAGAGTTATCAGAGCTTGTGGCCGGGCCCTGGACAGGGGGCAGAGGTTTGCCTTCAGGAGGGCACCCAGGAAGACAGAGCTGTGGGTGTGGGAACTCATTCTTGAGGCTGGGAAACACTGCGGGGAGTGGGTGTGGAAAGGACTGAATGCAGGCAGAGGACAACTTTGGGCTTGCTTTCTTTGTAAAAGATGTATGTATTTGAAAGGGAAGGACACAGAGATAATTCTTGCGTCTGCTGGTTCTCTCCCCAGATGGCCACAACAGCTGGGGCTGGGCCTAGGTTGAAGCCAGGCGCTTGGCACTCCATCCGGGTCTCCAGATGTAGGAGTCAGGGCCCCAAGGAAGGTACCCACACTGTCATCTGCTTTTTCCTAGGCACATTAGCAAGGAGCTGGACCAGAAGCAGAATATCCAGAACTCAAATTCACATTCCCATATGGGATACCAGTGTTGCAAGCAGGGGCGTAACCCCCAGGCCACAGTGCAGGCACCCACTGCTCCCAGCTTCTGGTCCCACCCCCTGAACCTGCAGAGGGGACTGGGGGATGTTGCCCCATTCTGTGACATCACAAGACGTTGCCCTGGTGACCTGGCTGGGTCTTTGCCAGATCTGGGCAGTGAGAGGACCTCCCGTCCCTCTTTCTCTTCACCTTCCTGGGCCCTCGCCCAGCCAGCCATGACTGGGATCCCCTAAGTCACACCTACTCCCACCTCCTGTTACTCCTAAGATCCTGTCTTCCCCTTTGCTCCTCTACCCCTCATCAGGTCAAGGGCTGGTGCCTGATTCCCCTGCTTGCCCAGTGACACCCAGTACCATCTGCCATCCCCAAAGACGCCAAGTCCTCCCCCTGCCTCTAACCCTGGGCTAGCTGGTGGGTAGGACTGACGCCCAATTACTCACAGTGCCAGGAGCTTGTCTCCATGGTTGCTTAAGTAAGGCTTGATGCTTCCGGCCCAGCGATGACGGGACTGAAAAAGAAAAAGGTGAGGCCTGGATGCGGGGTCTCCGTACTGTGAACTGCTTAAAGCAGGACAAAAGTTTCCCTGCTGGTGGCCTTGGTGTTCACATCTGTGAAATGGGCAGCCAGTGGGGCTCTGTGGCTCCTCCAGGGTGAATGACCGAGAGCTGTGGGCTGGTGTGCTAGCAGGTGCACCCTGGGCTCAACAGCCTCCTGTGTCACTTGTTGCTGGAGTCACACAGGCTCAGAGAGTCTCCCACCTCTAAGAGAGCTACTCCCTTGCTAGGTCGTCCTGGGGGAGGCATGTAGCCACTCGTCAGCAGCGCTGGCACTCCACTGTCCCCACAGTCTTCCAGCTCTGCACCCCTAGATAAGGGGGCTGTGTCTGCTGTATCCACTATCGTAATCCGCAGTGCCTGGCATGCAGTAGGTGCCTGATTAAAGCTGTGGCCAAGCAGCGTTGCCAGGAGGGGGCTGCACTCTCACTCAGTGTCACTACCCCTTGCCGTCAGGTGATAGGCTGGGTGGAGCAATGCCTGAGAGCCTGTCACTCATTCATGGGAAGGGGCAGGAGGAACTAAAAGCAGGCTCTTGCCACCTGGGGATACGATACCCCTACTGCCTCACACTGGGGTGCCCAGGCCCCTCAAAATACACCCATTGTTTCTACCCTAGATTTTTCAAAGTTAGAGTTTCAAAGAGAGACAAGAGAATTTTCGTTTACTAGTTCACTTCTTAAATGACTGCAACAGCTGAGACTGGGCCAAGCCAAAGCCAGGAGCTCCACCTGTGTCTCATGCAGGGGCACCTGGATCGTCTGCTGCTGCCTTCCCGGTGCAGCATCTCGGAGCTGGATTGAAACTGGAGCAGTCAGTGGCTTCCCAGCCTGCCCTGTGACAGACCATGCTAACTGTTCTTAGGGGTGAAACAGACTTCAGGGCCTACAACCTGGTACCACTTGCTGGCTGGTGGCTCTTGCCCCTACCCAGCCAGCAGCTGTAGCCCTGGTGCCCTGACAGTGCCAAGAGAACCATCAGCCAAGAGCTCAGGGGAAAAGAATTTTTCTTCATCTCACCCCTTCAGATCAGGGTGTTCCCCAGACTCAGGGGTCCTCGATCACTGTCTTCCCATTTAATCCAGCACAGACATTTTTCTAGCCATGAATAAATTCTCCCACACAGGGGTTGGTGTTATGGCCTATTGGGTTAAGCTACCATCTGTGGCACTGGCACCCCATATAGATGTGTTTGAGTCCTGATTGCTCCACTTCTGATCTGGTTGCCTGCTAATATACCTGGGAAAGCAATAGAGGATAGCCCAAGTGCTTGGGCCCCTGCACCCACGTGGAAGACCTGGAAGCAACTCCTGGCTTTGAGCTGGGTTGGCTACGGCCATTGCGGCTATTTGATGAATGAACCAGCAGATAGAGGATCTCTATCTCTCTTTCTAATTCTGCCTTTCAAATAACTAAATAAATAAATATTAAAAGAAAATTTTCCCAGCCAGGCTAGGGTAGGCTAGAGAGTCACAGGACACTAGTCTCCAGGGAGGGACACCTGCAGGTTCCCCTTGCATAGCCAGAAGGAGAGGGAGATGGAGCCTGGTGGTGGCCCGCCACCCCTCATTTGCAACCCCCATCCCTGATCCCCACCCAGCTTTCCGAGCAGGTGCCCTCAGGCTTCCCCAGATGGTGCCAGCTGGCTGCTGCCCTCTGGCCCAGCTGTGCCATGGGAGCAGTTGCTACCCACACCATCTGCAAGCTGTATTTCTGAAGACGCCATCGTGGAGGGAGGGCATGGGGGAGGCTGAGCAGCAGGGAGAACGGCTCCTGGGTCTTGCTCTGTGTGTGGCCAGTACGCGTCTTCTGGGGCTGCCACCCTCATTCTGCAGCCGGAGGCCCCAGGCACAGGCAGGTACCTGCGGCTGACTGTTGTAAACTGTGACGTGTTGTGCACAGGAGGGAACTGTGGTGGGATGGGGGGTGGAGACTGCATGGCTCCTGGGCATGGTGTGCAAACTGGAGAAGAGAATAGATGGGGTCAGAGGCAATGGCCCTGCCATACCAGAGCAGGTGGGCAGGGAGTGAGGGAAACAGCAATTCAGAGGGGACGGAGTGGCCACTCAACCCACTGTGCCTGCAGGTTGCCGAGGCCCCGAAGGAGTCCGTGGACACGGCCAGGAGCACAGAGCCTGCTGTCAGCCATGTGGCTCCCATCAACAAAGAGCTCATCACGGTTACGGTCCATGGGGCCACGAATCTGCCTGCGTGCAAGGACGGCTCGGAGCCATGGCCCTACGTGGTAGTGTAAGTGGCAGGGATGCTGGCATAGCTGCAAGGGGGCTGGAACTGACCCCTCTGTGGGGAAAGGGCAGATTGTGCCTTCCACTGGGCAGCACCGGACCAAGCTTCCCTCTGCATGCTGGATGTTGGCTCCACCTCTGCCAGTGGAACTCCTCTCTACTCACCCCTGCTCCACCCACCAGTGTCATTTGGTTCCTACTGGCAGACACTGTGAGAATGCCTGCCCCAGTCCTCCCAGTGGCACTGGCCCAAATTCCACTTTCAAAGCCTTGCCCAATGTGCTTCCTCCTCCACGCAGTCACCAGGATTAGCTTCCCACCCTCTACTCTGGAGTCCCACTAACCTGGTCACATAATTGTAAAATATCCTACAGAACCAGGGGTAGGGTTAACTCAGGTCTATTTCATCATTGAATGGGAGTATGGGGAGCAAGGAATGACCAAAAGGCTAGCATATCCCCCATCCCCAAACACACACACACACACACACCCCAACAGGTTGCCCAAGTCCTTCCCCCAGCTCCCCTCCCCCAGCTCCAGTCTGGGTGGCAGTTCCCCCCTTCTCCCCCTCTTCATTTCCATAAACCAATTATCACTGATCATCTGGGGAGCTTGAGACCCTGCCTGTCACCAATCCCGCCTAGGCACCACGACCTCAACCACACCAACCCATTGCCATGGAAACGAGCTGCTATTAGAGCCCAGGCCACAGGGGCTGGGAGAGCTGGGTATGCCCTGTGACTGTCGATTTAGGAAGGGGTACAGCAGGCAGAGCTGGGTTCCCCCAGAATCCCGGCTGAGCTGCCAGCGGCTCTGCGTGGCACTAATGAGATGCAAATGAGAAGAGAGGCTGCAGAGCTTGGAGGCCCAGCTGTCAGGACCCCAAGGGCTGGTGCCAGCCCCCAAGCCTAGGCAGGAACCTTCCCAAAGGCGGCAACCTGGACTCTAACAAGAGCATGGTGCCCCTGCGTGCCGGTTACAGATGCCCCCCTAGGCTTGAAAGAGTTGTGTGGTTTTGCTGCATTTCAAACTTGTTTGCTTCAATGCCTTTAAGATACATTTATTTAGAAACATTCAAATGTCACTTCAAGGGCAGCCCTGGAAAAAATGGCACTGAAAGATGAGATGAGGGTTGACCTCACCGATCATTAGGCGATGCCAGACAAAGTGCTAATGAGATATTAGGACAGAGATGATCCAGAACAGGGACCCGTTGTCCAGCAGCTGGTCTGTGCATGAGTGTAGCCATCAGTAGCGTGGGGGTCTCTCCAAAAGTCAAAGGGGAGGTGACCTTAGCATGCAAAGAAGTGAGGTACATTAGCATCTCTGTGTGTGGGAATAGGCTCTGTTTTCCATCAGTGTCACCCCTTCCTGTGGCACCCGCCCCCTCACCAGTTCCATGGCAAACCCTAGGTGCCCTCTGCTTACTCCAACACCAAGCCACTGGCAGGAGCTGACTACCAGCTGAGCCCTCAATGCCAAGTTGGCCGTGTGACTTCAGGGAGGCAGCCTCACTTTCCAATACCCGAAGGACTCCCCTGAACTCCCCTCACCCCTTGCATCATGGGATACAGGTAGAGATGGCAGAACCAGACAGCAGTAGACACTGGCACACATGGCACTGTAGTCAGGCTTTGGCATGCATGAGAGGCCTTTCCCAAGGGGCCGCTGCCCTAAGCCCCTGTGTGGCCCGCCCCCCTTTTCACTTGCTCTCACCTAGGGCAGGCCTGGCTGGCCAGTTAATGCTCCTGCTCTGGAAATGAGTCCCAGTGCCCTGTCCTGGCTTTGCCCGCTGTAGGTACACCAAGAGCCTGACCCCTCGGCAGGGTGTGTGTGCGTGTCTGAACTGAGTGGGTGGGGCCTGACTTCAGGCCCCTGGGCTGAGTTCCCAGCACCTGTCAGCCAGCCTGGCACAGACAAACCCATCCCGTCAGCTGGGAGCAGGGAGGCAGTGCCCTGACATGTGCAGGAGACAGGTGTGGCCCGCCACTGTGAGGTCCCTGCCAAGGCCACATGCTGCATGGCAGAAGTTGCCAAGGGGAATGCCTATTATGCAAACATGTTGCACCCACATAAGCTTGTGTTTCTGGGCCACTTCCTATGGCCACGTCGAGGCCCCTGGCAGTCTGGTGCGCATTGGTCCCGGGCACAGGAGACATTCCGTAGATGGAATGCCCGCAGCTCAGGGCGTGTCTGTGGCTTATCCACAGCTCTGGCACCACCCTTCATGCCCAGGGTCTCGCTCGCACGCATGCACACACACACGCACACACCCAGCAGTTGCTGACCTGGAAAGGGGCTTGTAGGCAGCAGGACCCAGACTTCTGGCAGGGCATGGGGTGGATTGGGGAGGTGGACCAGCCACTGCAGGGCAGAGTGCTGGGTGATGATCTGGCCTGATGCAGGTGGGCTCAGCAAAAGTGACAAGAGCACAATGACTGTGGCCGTGAGACAGCAGGAAACTCACCAGTCCCATTGGCCCGGTTCTCTGGTTCTCCATGCCTGGAGCAGCCCAGGAGGCAGCTTGCGTGTTTCCCATGCAGCCGCCCAGGAGGCTGGGCCGGGAGGCATTGCCTGGGATGGCCTGCGTCCCATGGCTGGCTTAGAGGCTGAGACAATGTTCTCATCTGGCCTCTGGCTTCCCTCTCCCAGCAGGACATGGGTGGGGCCCTGGAGCCTGGCCTGCGTCTCCATCTCTCCCTCAGGGGGCCTGGTTTCTTCCTCCCCCCCCACCAGCCACACCTGCTCAGAACCTTCGGGATTCTTGGTCGGTGAGAATGTCCCCATAGCCCAGAGCCTGTAAACACAGCTGGTGCTGATGGCTAAAGCAGGCCTGTGCCTGAGATCTGCCACCAGACTTAAGCCCTGAGGGTTCCTTCCAGATGGTTCTCCATAACTGTCACTAACAAGGGCAGCTTGTCCATCTTGCAGACCCAGAGCTCTGAACAGCAGGGCTCTGAGGTGGTACAGGTGTCCCCACTGCCCCGGATACCTTGCCCTAAACCCTCTTCCCTCCCCAGATAGCACAGAGTCTCCGTCCTGAGCCCCATGGGCCTCCAGCTCAGCATCCTTCAGCTCAGTAACTCCTAGGAAGAAAGCGAGCTGCCCTGGTCCCCTGCACACCAGGCAGGCAGCTTCCGGCCAAAGGAAACATGGCAGGCTGGCCAAAGTTAATGCCTTCAGGGTGCAACCAGTTACATAAGCAGGCAACTCTGTGGCTGGGTGAGGACGGAGTGGACTGCGCCCTCTGGCACGCGCCAGCTCACGCTAGCACCCCTGTGCTAATGCAGTTCGCACATCCGGACTCTCTATGTCTTTGTTGCCCTCCACCCCAGGGAGGGACCCCTCATGCCAGGTTTTCCCTCCCACCCCTGCCCCCACAAATCCTTGGACCCAGCTGGGAGCACCCACTCATCAGCTCATCAGCCCTCTCCACGCACCTCCACTCTTCCCCTGACCCACCAAGTCCTCTTCCTTTGGGCTCTCCTGCCCGCCCCGAGGAGCTGTGAAGATGGTTACCTCCAGGCAAGGAGCTGAGCCTGGAGCCACATCGTCCCATCCAGATAACAGGGGAGCAGGGCCAGCACTCCAACCTGCGAGATGTGAGCGAACTAGGAGGGCCCAGGAGGCTGTGGGTGAAGACAGAGCAGCTGGCCCTGGTGCAGGGAGGGCCTGGTAGAGGGGTCTCCCTCCCCTAACCCCCACTGTCTGAATCCCAGGTGGCTCTGGGCCTGAGAGAGATGCCACATGAATACCAGGTTCTGTCTGGTCTGAGGCCAACTGGGGTCTGTGGCTGGAGGGGAAGTTCTTAGGGTACCCCCAGGTTGAAATGAAAAGGTCAAGATCAAGGTTGGACCAAGCAGGTAGCCAGAGTTTCCAAGGGCCTTGAAGGGAGCTCAGTCCCCTAAATAGGTTAGGACCCTGGTTTCCCCCTGGGGACAAAGCTTGGGGTCTGCAGAGCAGGGCAGAGTTCAGCATGAGCATCCAGGGGGGCTGGCAGACAGGGCAGGCTGTGCCCTGGGGGGGCCAGCCACCGCCCTGCCAGCAGAGGGCGGAGGGCACTACTGCCCAGAGCTTGTGCTGCCCTCAGAACGCAGAGGTAGAAAGTCCTGGTGTGCTGCTGGGCCACATGGGAAGGCAGCCCTGTGCTGCTGTCTGGCGTGGGTGGGGGTGCTAGGCACCCGGAGACAGCAGGGCTGACTCAGATGACTGTGGGAGGGCTCGGGCTGGGATGAGAGGCATTCTGTTTATCTGTTTAAGATTGATTCATTTTGAAAGGCAGAGCAAGACAGAATCTTCCATCCACTGGCTCACTTCCCCAAATGCCCACCAACAGAGTTGAGGCCGGGTTAAAGCCAAGAACCAAGAACTCTACCTGGATCACTCACATGATTGGCAGGTGTCCATCCTCCTCGGCTGCCCTCGCAGGCATAGCAAAGAGGAGCTAGATTGGAAGTAAGGCAGCCAGGACTGGAACCAGGTACAGCTTAGCCCACTGGGCGAAAATGCTAGGCAGCTGGCCCGGAAGGGGATGTGGGAGGGGGCATTCCCGGGAATCCTTGCAACATGTCTTTTCCTAGGTGGGGGCTGGGTAACCGGACCTCTTCCCACTCTCCTTGCTTACTCCTCCGGGGAGGCAGGTGTCAGTCAGTGGAGATCCACCTGTGGTGTTGTGGCCCCATCAGCAATTAGAGATGGCTCATTAGAGGCCAATTAATACTGGAAACCCGGGCTGAGAGCCTGGAATTCTGAGGAGAATAATAGCCATGCCTCGTGCCTTAAGTGGCTGCCTCCTGGGAATTGCCAGGCCCAGCTGCCTGCCTTCTGAATGGGTACTGGGGGCAGTCCGGGCTGGGCCTGGGGAGGGGCTGCTGTTGTCTGGCCATGGACAGGGGCTGTCTCCCTGCCTTAGTCTCAGCACCTAACGTCCTCAGGGAGCCCCCAGCCCCATTCCATGTCCAGCCATCCTTGGGGAGCATGGCAGAGGCCCTTCTCTCTCGCTCA